AAAACAAGTCTTGCCCCATGGGCACACTCAAATTCACAATAATTGAGCACAGCCTGCTCATTTGTGTGTTGCTGTCATAATGATATTTAACTCTGGTTTATCTCTTTGTGAAGATAGCTGTTAGAGGTCTGCAAACTGTTAATTTTGCCCTGTTCTGGAAAAGTAACAGAGCTCTCGCAGCATGCTTGCTAGCTGGGGAAATCAGCAGCAGCTCTTCCTAGCAGGTTTTCTCGTACTATAATTTTCAATAAACTGCATTATAGTTTCTGGCCCTGGCGCTCTGACTTGCTGATCAAGCTACCAAATAATACAGTCTTGAGCCTAAGTCAAGACTCATGTGTTTGTTTCTCTAAGAGTAACAAAGAAGCTAGCCCAGAAGCAAAAATGAATTTGAAAGCCATTAAGAATTTTTCCCTAATATAATCTTGCCTCTTTTAAATATAGATATTTATTGCATAATAATTATGTATGAATTTAATGCTCACATTTGTCAGGTATGATAGCCCTGAGTAAAATCCTGTTATCTACAGGATAGGCTTAGGTTTGGCATGGGCAGAAAAAGGGAAATTTTCTACAATGTGATGCTGTAATGTGCAGCAAGCCTACTTATCACTAGCGGCAAAAAGATAGTTCTTGCTATGTAGATGGCAAAGAAAATGAAGCAAATTCATATAAGCACCCTTTGAAAACTAAGTGCTTCCTGACTGTTTGCCACAATGTCTTACAAAACATTTTATTCAGCTCCAAAAATGTACCTTCTCTTCTGCATCTGCTATAAAAAAGCCAATTATTTTCAAGAGTGGTAGTGATATAGAGAATATGGATTTACACATAGGAAATCTGACTATCACAGGTAAAGACATACAACCCCCCCACTGAAAAAGTAAAGTTAAACATGCACTGAAAGATTCCTCTATGTACTGGGCAGCTGGGGTCAGATGTATAAATATTTACAGATATGCTCTTAAATGTAAGTTCAGAAGCCTGCAAGACTAGCAACTAACTGCCCATTAAGAGAAGCGGTGGAAAAAGAAGCACTCTCTTTCCCAAGCAAGAAGGCAACTTTACATGTCCCAGCAGCTGTGGGATTACACAGATGGTAACAAAAAAGGCAGGAAATCAGCAGCAGCATTTTTTTAAAATCCCTCCCATTAAAGAAAACTATTAGAAAAAAAGGCGCTCTCCTTTTATTTTAGCCACCTACAGGAGATCTTTAAAAACTGAGTAACTTTTGCCTCTTTTCAGCAGTGGTAGGAGCAAAAGTGTCAGCATGGTGCTTCCTTGGGCTCCAGTGACAGAACATGGCACCCTCAGCTACAGAAATCATCCCAAGTCTCCTTACATTGTACCCACCTCAAAATTATTTCCCCTGAATCTCCAATGGCTCTCCTATGTAATAATGCATGGTACCCTGCTTCTATCATATGCTATATCAAGCTGTTTAAAAAACCTAAGTTAAATATAAACAAATAATAAAGATATTGAAAAGAAGGAAAAAAATCAGGTGGCTCTGATTCATTTTATCAGAGATGAGCTTTACTTAAACCCACCGTGCTATCAGGTTCCTTCCCCATGATTCAGACTTTCCCCTCCTGAAACCAGTAGAGAGCCCTCGGTTTTAATGTGGGAGAGCTCTTCATAGTGCAAAACAAGTACAGTGCTCTTCTATTATACTTTGAATTTTGGCAGCATAAGGTTAATAGAAAGTTCGTACACCTATTGGAACAAAAAGATTATCTTCACTTCACACAGAAAATGGGGAATACATTTGGGCATGACATTTCAATTTATGAAGCCCTTTTTGGAAACCTCCTGTGGAAGGTCATGTGGTCAAAACCTCCTGGTTAACTTTATTTTCAGTTTTCAACGTCAATTTAAAACAACATTTTTTCTTCCATTTGCAGCCCACACACTGCCTGGCTTCTCTCTCCTTTCCTTTGCTGCATAATTATGCAACAAATGCAGTTAATCTTTAAAAAAATAGAATTCTAACCTTGTGAAGGAGTCAATTGTTATGTCAAGTTTCTTCTAATTTAATATACCCCCATAGTTGTTTTTTCCCCAATAAAAATAACCTGTGTTAAAGAGGTTAGTGAATTTTCCCAGCAGATTGGCATCAGTCAAATTTCTCAGCCACTATGCTAGAATCACTGCAGACTGCTTACACTCAATAAATCAAGTCTGTCTCTTTTTTTTGTTTGTTTTGTTCATATAATTGACTCTATTTTGCAAAACCATTTAATCATCAAGGGTCAGAGTATGATACCCTTCTACATATTGACTAATAAAACCTTACTTGTCAAACATTCACATTGATAAACTAGCCCTTAGTAAATTAAAGACAAAGGTTAAACATTTAGGAAGATTTTTCCTTGGATTTTTTGGCAAAGCCAAAATACTACTTCATGGCAGACAGCATGTAGCCCTTTCATCAGACTATCCACCTTGCCACTAAGTGTCAAGTTGCCAAAAAGATTTCACAATCACCATCTTGTAAAATTGAGCATACTGCCTTTCTTATGAGCCAAGCACAATAGCACACCGTTTGAAATTAGATTTCCCATTTGCCAGCATGACGACACTGCTTGGGAAGCCTAAATGCTGGAACAGATCTGGGAGGGGGGGGTGCATTCATACCCTCCTTTGATTCCTACTTCCACTCAAAGTTTAAAACAAACTGCCCAGGATGGCTGGAATGGCAGTATCTCTATTCATGTGGAGCTGAGGAAGGCAATTGACTTCATGGCCCATTATTATCATCTGCCTGCTTCCTGTCAATCTCTTTATTTGGTATGTGTTAAACCCCTTGATCTTCCTCTAATCAAGTTAGCCTTTTTTCTACAATTGTCCTGGCTGTTATCTACTCCTGGAAATGTTTCTCTGCTGACCCCCACAGCATATCCAGTTAAGGTGTGCCTCTACCTAGAAATCTGTACTGGGTAGTTTTGTCCCTAGAATATTCATGTCAGAGACAAGGAGGGGAGGGGTAAGGATAACAAGAGGATGAGCTATGCAGTGTCAAGGCAGTCAGAGACAGAAGGGTGTTACAAAGGTGAGTTGAAGTGGTAAGTTACTAAAGTGATCCTTTCCTGAGTCAAGTATTGCAGCAGATGATGGAGGCAGTGGGAGGCTGAATAGTGATACAACCAAAGCAGAATAAAGCCAGTCATGGGTGGATCCAGAGATACTGGCACTGCCAGCAGCTGAAGCAAATCCTTCATCAGCCCCAACTGTTTGTTTCTGTACACGGAAGGTGGAAGGCAGTGAAAGCCAGCTACAGGCATACGGTGAGAAAGAGGGCGCAGTTACATCCCTGCTCCTGACCTGCCCCGTGCTTGGGGGCTGTGAAGGGTAGAGGGAATGGGAAGGTGTGAGGGACAACTGGGGTTTGGAGCTGAAGGGGATGGTGGGGTCTAGGGGGGATGAAATGGGGTGGGGGGGTTGAAGCAAGAGGAACTGTGGGTGATAGATATGGGATGCATGAGAGGTGGCAGTGACATATGGGTACTCAGAGAGACAGGGGAGAGGAGGATGATGAGGGGGCAAGGAAGGTGAGGCATGATGAAGATGAGTCTATACAAGAATCAGTGGATTTATGGAGGCAGTGAGGGGGCATGAGGGGTGTGGGGCACAATGCGGTGGGACTCAGAATGGGGATATGTGGGATAACAAGGGACAGAGTGGATCCAGAGATCATCTGAGGTTGCAGGGGCTGTGCATAAAAGACAATGATGGGCACTTTGGGACCATGGTAGAATGCCAGGAGAACTCTTGTGGAGCTGTACAGGAGGCAATTTTGTCCATGGCCTGATTGAGGGCTAACAGTTGTACGTCCCAGCAACAGATGTCTGCCCATCCTGGAGCTGGCATTCAGCCCCCCACAGCCTTGCTAGTTTTTGCTTGTACCATAAACTGAATAATACAGCCCTAGACTGCTAGCAAATTAGTAAAGCTTGCTTTCTTTTTAACTGGAGAAAAATATATACTGTATTATGTGATGATGCACCATACCACCTGTATCCCTTTTTTCAAAATCCTAGATGTCTACAAGTCTTAATAGCTGTACCCCATTTGTTTCCAGGTTGTAATGTGTGAAAGAGTAAAAATCCAGTTCTACTTCACTGCAGATAGCTCAACAAATTAGTGAAACCAACCATCTCTAGATTTAGTGTAACAGTGTCTTACCCATAAAATTTTGACTACTTTAGCCACAAATCACTACCATGAAAGTAATTCTGCACCTACACAGAAGGCTGCATGCAGATGTAGGAAGCTGAGGGTCACGAAGGGAGTTCCTGTAAATTCATGCCTATCATGAAGTCAACTTGTATAGCTGCTATTCCTGTAATAGCCTTGTGTGGAAGACAAAAGAGGTTAAGAACCAAATTGTATTACTAACCCAAAATGGTATACAGGGAGGGAACAATGGACAACCTCTTCTGCTCCCCCGTATACCGTGCAGCACTGGCTAATTGTACAACTACTCAGCCAGCCAAAACAGAAAGGATGGCTATAAGGCTAGTAGATGACCTTTCCAATTTTTTAAATCCAAACATATTCAAAAAGCTCTATCATTCTAAATGAGGCATTCCATGTACAACCTGTTTCCGAAAAAGTTCTCCAGGACTGGAAATGCTTTATTTAACAGTTGCAGTTAAAATAACATCTGCCTAGCTGTTCTGAATGGTGCTTCATGATTGCTTCCTTTGTTGTACATTAAGAGGTGCCATTTTCTAAAGTCCTTTTGTAAGCAGCCAATAGAACTTCCTATTTCTTAAGTTCACAGTCTCACCCAGAATTTTTAAACAATGCTGAGAAAGTGTCTACTACTCAATTTCAGCATAGCAAATATTTGTCAACTGATAATAATAATAAGCTTCTATTTCACTTACATAAGTGTTAAATTCATGTATTTATTAAACTATGGAAAACAAAAAACATGCTACAGTATCAGTTAATTTACAACTTAAACTAATGTTTCTGAAAAGAAAAAGGCTTACCCCTTGATTGCAGGCCATGGCCACATGCTTCATTATGTCCCAGTATGCCCTGTCTCACAGAGTCTGGCACTAGTACACAATGGCTCCATTTATGGGCCTTCCACCTGTGACAAAAAGCAACAAAGAGTTCACAAACTGTGATAATTATTTGAATTGAATAACTTTGATGAAAAAACTAACATGCCTTGACAAAATTCTTCATGACAAAATTATTCACTGACAAGCTATATCAGCACTTAATAATAAAAACTACAAGAACGTGTTAATTATTAGGGCTTTGCGAATCTTCGGTCACTGATTCGATTTGGCGGCAATTTCACCCAATTTGGCGGCCAAATCTCCAAATCCAAATCAAATCAGGAGACCCTTTAATCTCTCCAAATTGAATCGGAACCCCCTGAATCAATTAGGAGAGATTCAATGATTCAGATATAGACACAGCTTTAAATGTTTCTTCTACATACCTCAAGGTACCAGGTGGCTCACGAACATCGAGATGGTGAGGCGGATAGAGCGTCCCACGGGAGTGTGGGAGGGTCCCCAGTGCACTCACCAGCAGACCCAAAAGAGGACCAGAAGCACTTCCAGTCCACTTCCGTGTCCACTGCAGAGAGTGCGGAGGACCTCCCCCATTCCCCACCCCCCGGCTTGGTGACTGGTGCCTCCTGGGTCCAGGGGGGCACCCAGGGTCCTCCCCCATGTGCTCAGGGGTGGACCCAGAAGTGGACCAGAAGTACTTCCGGTCCACTTCTGGGTCTGCAGCCAAGCAAGTGCTCCCCCCCACGCACTCCTGTGGGATGCTCCATTCACCCCACCATCTCATAAATCACAAGCCATGCCTGGTACCTCAAGGTATGTAGAAAAAACATTTAAAACTGTGTCTATGACCGAATCGCTGATTCTCTGAATCAGCATCGAATCTTCAGATTTGGATTTGGCAAAATAGAATTGGGACAGTTATTTGAATCAAATCACTGTCCCCCCCAGTTGGGCCAAATCCAAATCCATATTGAATACAGCCTGCTTTGCACACCCTTAATTATCCCTAAAACAGGCAAAACCTACTAAAAAAGATTAAATCTGTAAGAAATCCACATTTGCTTCCAATCCTCCTTTTGGGGTTTCTTTTGGTTGTCTTTTCTCTTTTTCAAAGCCTGTAAGAATTAAACAGCAGTTTTCTATTTTTCTACAAACCCTTATTCATGCACTGACATTTTGCAGATTTACCTTCTGTGCTATGTTCTTGCATGCATTATGGAAGAATATAAGGGACCACCTATCCATATATATGTAATTAGTAGAAATCAATGTCTGTGACATCAGCAGTAAGTATATAGGTTTGTAACCATATTTATTTTTCACTCTTTTCAGGGAACTCTCCTGTATGATCTAGACCTTGGAGGTATGTACACAAAAATAATATATATCTACCTCCTATATTTGTGAAATAGATGGATCATAGAATTTTAATGAAGAATAATGAATAACAGTCTTCATTGTGCTATTTATCTAATCAGAAACATAAAAAATACATATTATTCCTTGACCTGCATGTAGCTGGAGAGAAGGCAGAGTAGCTGCAATAACTATACCATTATAATTAAGTTGGTCCCAAATCAGTTTAATATTTTAAGACTAGCAAATTGCCCATCAAGAATCATGGGGGGGGTGGGCAGGAAGCTTGCTAACCCTAACCCCTCCCACACTTTGCACCGCTGCCACCTCCAAGAAACTGGGGGGGAGGAGAAGTTTGCCCCACTGTCTCCTTTGTCCCCCTCCGCCAGCACCCTGCTCCATCCCCTCCATCACAAGGGTGCTCCACTGCCTCCAGGGACCAGGACCAGAATGGGGTAGGGGCCAGGTCAGCACTGCTGGCTTCACGCCCCAGCTCTATCCCCACCATCGTGGCGGTGCTCCACAGCACCACCGCCGCCTCCTGTCAGTAATGCTGTTGGAGCACTCTGATTGCTTGTTTTAGTAACATTCAGAGTGCTCCAAGAGCATTATGGACAAGCAGACAGACAGACTAAGCCCTTTATGATATTAGAATATATTCAGGATTTTCCCCCAAAAATATTTCTTATATTTTATGCCTTACTCGTTATAAAATACCATGTCTCCTTATGCTTTTTCTGGTGCAACCATGCATTACCTCTACTGAAATGTAATATTTCAATTGCATTTTTCTTTTATAAATGTCCATAGCTTTTACATGGTATTTTTCCCCAGACATGATTTTCAATCTATAGAGCACCTATACACATGCAGTGAGGCTGCTCTGACATGCTACAATTACAATTCATCAGAGGAGACTCGATTAATCAAGTCTGCTGGAATGTTCAATGAGCTTCAGTTAAAGCACCCTGTCACCATTCTTCAGCATGGGAATGCTGATACACAAGATGCTCTGGGTGCTTTAATTACAGCGGCTCTCAGAGCCACTCTAATTAAAGTGCTTCCCCCCCACACACACAATTCTGGAGCATGTGTATAAACACCTATGGTGTCCTAAGTTAAAAATTATTAAATACATTTACATGAATAACCTGAGAAACAGCAACCCAATGTCAGAAATTCTTAGTGAATATATCACAGCACCTGTATACTGGGCAGACAGGAATATCTTCACATTCTCTTTCTTCATACAAGGTGTCTGGGCACTCCTGTCCCCCATTGACAGCATTCTGAATGATAATCCTATAGCGGGACTGTTTAATTCCTGTAGCATTGCCTGTAAGAGAAAAACATTTTTTCTACCCAGAAAACCTGGCAACATGACTTAGTGCACTAGTACACCTCAGCTACATTTCTGCCTTAGGTTACAACTAAATGCATTTAGGGATGGATTCTGCAAAGTGCTGAGCAGTCTGGCACCAATCCAGGAAAGAAGGGAGAATTAGCTCTATATAGTAAAGATACCATTACCTGCTGTACAGTTATCAACAATTCAAAAGAACACCACTTGGCCTGCTCCTGGATCAGTGTTCTAAGTGATAAATCACAACATAATGTCTATTAAAGCATATCACATCAGACAAGGAAATAAGATGGGCATCTATTTAAAATTATATTTGTGAGGTTTATATAGAAAAACAATATTATCTTGCCAGATTTTAAGCATGGGGTCAATGCTGGAGGCCACATAATACCACTAGAAACATCCTTGTAGTTTCTAAAAATTAGAGAAAATTCCTTTCTAACACACACTGTAACCAAGGATGGGGAAATGCTATATTATACCTCCTTCTAATGCAAGGTTGTACAATCTAGAAACAAAGAATTTATCAGCAGAGAGATGTTGTTAGCCATTTTACTCTGAAGTTAAGTGGAAGGCAGGGTAGCTTTGCACCTTATAGACTAACCACAATAAATATGCATATAAAATAGCACAAACTTTCATGGTTTAGTGAGTTTCAGCCCACAAAAGCTTGTGCTATATACATATATCACAGAGAAGTATGGCTGCAAGGGACCTCCATAGGTCATCCAGTGCAATTCCCTACCTGAGGTAGCTACAATCATCTCTATCCAAACCATCCCATTCAAATCCTATTGTCACCCCTGACCCAACAAAAGACCTAACACCCTACCCTAAAACAAAGGGACCACAGCAGCCAACATCCTGCATTTGTAAAAGGTTGTTAATATATGCTCAAGAGATTCCAGGTAGAGGGTCACATCCCCTGCTACAGAGGATGGGCTCCCCCCTCCACATGCACACAGTCCACACCAATCTGACCATGACATAAAATTCTTGCCTGACCCCAAATATGGAGATCAGTCTGACCTTGAATGGAGGGGCAAGACCCTCTAGCTAGCAACCTCTGGGTTTAATTAAATACCAGCAGGAGCACTGCTACATCCCAGTCAAAATCCCCAGCCTTGGCTGCAGCAAACACCCAATGCCTCTGAGGAATGATAAAAAAACCCCAAAACCTGATACATGTAGCAGAAAAACTGGTGGAAAGGGCGGGTATTTTCTGACCAGCCCCACACAGCAATCAGCAAAGCCCAGAAGCATGGGAAATACCCATTGTAGAACACAGGCAAAGCTATACCTAGATCATCCCTGACCAGTGGTTGTCCAGCCTCTTCTCGAACACCTCCAGTGATGGAGTTTACAACTTCCCTAGGTAGTCTATTCTACTGCCTCACTGTTCTAACAGTGAACAAGTTTTCCCTGATATCCAGTCTAAATTTACTTAGCTGTAACTTCAAGTCATTGCTCTGCGTCCTCCTCTCTGCAGCAAGAGAGAAAAGGTGCATTCCCTTTTCTTTATGACAGCCTTTCAAGTATTTGAAAATTATTACCATGCCCCCTCTTAAGAGCCTTTTCCTTAAACTGAATATGCCTACTTCCTTCAGCATCTCCCGGTATAATTTGCTTTCCAAGCCCTTTATCATCTTTGTCGTCTACCTCTGGAAAATCTCTAACTTCTTCATTGCCTTTTTTGAAATGTGGAACCCAAAACTCCACATAACACTCTAGATGAGGCCTAACCAGCACCAAGTAGGGAGGCACTACTACATTTCATTTCTTGCAAGTAATGCTTCTGCTGATGTAGCACAAAACCGCATTTGACTTTCGTGCAGCCGCAAAACACTGTAGACTCATATTGAGCCTGTGACTTACCAGGACTCAGAGATCCTTCTCCACAGTGCTGCCATCCAGCCATCTGTCACCTATTTTGTATTTGTCTTTGATTATTCTTCCAAAGGCATAGCACCTCCCATGTCATCACTGAGCTTCATCCTGTTAGCTCCAGCCCAGCTTTCCAGTCTGTCAAGATCCTTCTGAATTGTGCTCCCATCCTCCAAAATGTTCACAATCCTCCTCAGTTTCATGTCATATGCAAAGTAGCTTAAGAAGCTTTCTATGTCAGTATCCAAATGCATTTGACAGCAATGGGCCGAGGCCAGACCCCCATGGGACTTCACTCAAAACCCCTTGCCATTCTGACATGGATCCGTTAATAATTACCCTTTGCTTGCAGCCATTCAGCCACCTGTCTATCCACTTTGTAGTAGTTTTGTCCAGCCCACATTTCCCTCAGTTGTTTTTAAGAAGGTCATGCAGGACCTGGTCAAAAGCCTTGCTGCAGTCCAGATGCATTATATCCACAGCATTCCCTTCATCCAACCAAGTAGTTATTCCACCAAGGAAGGATATCGTTTGTTTGACATTATTTGTTCTTAGTAAATCTATGCTGTCTGTTTGTGATCAGCCTTTTCTCCTCTGGATGCTTGCAAATGGCCTTCCTTAGCATATGTTCTATTAACTTCCCAGGTAGTGAGGTGAGGCTAACCCACCTGTAGTTACCTGGGTTCTCCCTTTTGCCTTTTTTAATGACTGGCACTATGCTGGCCTATTTCCTCTGGTACCTGGCCCATCTCCTACAACCTCATTACCAGGGACTCTGAGATCTCCTCTGCCAGTTTATTCAGCACACTGGGATGAAGTGCATCAGGCCCTGCTTTGCATCTTCTGGGCAGCAGTGAGCCCACAGCTTCCTTGGTCTTTCATTTCTGGCCAACATATTTATATAACCTCTTCTTATTGTCTTTAACCTCCTTCACTTAATATGGCTCATTCTTTAGTTTTGCCTGCCTGATTTTATCCCTACAACTTCTGGCTTTTCCCTGGTATTCATCCTTGGTGACCTGTCCATTCTTCCATCAGCTGTATGCTTTGTTTGTGCATTCAAGGTATCCTAGAAGCTCTTTGTGCAGTCATATTGGTCTCTTGCCATTCTAGTGCTTCCATCATAGATTCATAGATTCCAGGGTCAGATAGGACCTCAATGGGCCATCTAGTCCGACCCCCTGCCCCTGGCAGCCCAGAAAAAGGTCACCAAACCTGGGATCATGTGATCCCAGCCAGGTGCCTGTCCAGTCTCCTCTTGAAGACCCCCAAGGACAGGGTGAGCACCACCTCCCTTGAAAGCCCGTTCCAGATCCTGGCAACCGACTGCAAAGACCTTTTTTCTAATGTCCAGGCTAAACCTACTCTCCAATAGCTTATGGCCATTGTTCCTTGTTATTCCAGGGGGTGCCCTGGCAAACAGATCATTGCATACTTCATGCTGCTCCCCGCTTCTGAATTTGTACGCTGCCAAAAGGTCCCCTCTCTTAGAGAGGATGAAAAGGTTGAGGTCCCTTAGCCTTTCCTCGTAGGGCCTTCCCTGCAGGCCTCCAATCAGACAAGTGGCTCTTCTTTGGACCCTCTCCAGGTTGTCTGCATCCCACTTGAACTACGGCATCCAGAACTGGACACAGTACTCCAGCTGCGGCCTAACCAGTGCTGCGTAGAGAGGGAAAATCACCTCCCTGGACCTCATTGTGAAGCACCTATGGATGCACAACAAGGTGTGATTGGCTCTGCCAACTACTTCATCACATTGCTGACTCATGTTCATCCTGGAGTCAACCATGATTCCAAAATCTCTTTCTGCCTCAATGGTGCTGAGAAGGTTGCCCCCTAGCCTACAGGTATAAAGGCAATGTTTCCTCCCTAGATGCAGCACTTTGCACTTGTCCTTATTGAATTTCATCCTGTTGTTCTCTACCCACTTCCCCAACCTGTCAAGATCAGCCTGGATCTGGTTCCTCCTCACCATGTTAGAACAGTTTCTTGTTGGGGTTCCAATGCTGTGCTCTTTAGGAGCTCCCAACCCTCCTGGACACCTTTATCCTTCAGTCTACCTTCCCATGACACCATCCCTATTAACTCATTGAGTCAGTTGAAATCTACCCTTTTGAGATGTGGCTGACCTAATTTTGCTTTCCCTGTCTCAGGATCTGGAATTCTATCACATCATGATCACTTCTTCCCAAGTTCCCATCACCTTCACATCCTCCACCACCTTTTCCCTATTGGTCAGGAAAAGATCCAAGACAGATAGTCCCCTAGTTGTAACCATCTTCTGGAATACAAGGCTTTTCTCCACACAAGAACCAGGTTGACATTTTATGTTTGGCTATACTGTTCTTCCAGTAGATGTCCAGAAAGCTGAAGTCTCCCATCAGCACCATCCCATAGCTTTTGGATAGATTTGTCACATCCACCACCTCTTCCTGATTTGGTAGCCTATTATAAAGCCCCATCATTATATCAGTGCTGCATAACTCCCAATTGTGGCATAAGTGAATCTCCTACTGAAATCACTGTGTCCAGTAAAACATCAAAAAGGATGCTGAAAAACTACAAAGGGGTCAGAAAAAAGCTATAAAACTGACTCAAATTCTGAAGATGTTATTCAAATTCTAGTTGGCATTTTCCATTCAAGACATGAATAAAGGTCAGGATTGAAGGATGGCTTATTGGTAGGAATGTTTAGGAAAGTTCATAAAAAGCCCACATTTAGGAGGTGGGAGTACCCACATGTCCTTTTAAAAATGCTCAGCTCCTACAGGATCAGACACACAACAGTGTCAAACTAATGCCAACTGAACTGAACCATCGGAGTCAAGAAATCCTAATAATGTTTGGATTAAATGAATATTTAGAGGTCATCTAGTCCAACTGGAAAAGTATATCTAGATTGAAGGTAATTAAGTATATCTAGTTGCATTAAGAATGCCAGATGTTTGTCTAACTTCTTAAAGTCTGTCAATGAAGGCAATTCCACAAGGTAAAACTCTCATCCTTTTTTGTTCTGGACTTTCTTCAAACTGTCTACATCTTTCTGTGGTACCCAAAACTGATCACACAATACTCCAGATGAGGCTCCT